GATATGAACGCAAATGTGAGTACGATGTATGTTTAACGTTTTCGTTGGACGAGGAAAAAGGACCAGGCTTGTACATTTTCGTACTTTTCCATGGACTTCCATGGACTTCCATGAACTTCCATGAACATTCCATGGAATCCCATAGATGGAAGTTTGAAACTTTTTTTCAGAACTTTCGTGAATAGTTCCGTTGATGTCCACGACATTTTGTAATGAAATTAATACACTACATGTCGTGAAACAGTTCATAAAAACATTTCCTGAAATTTCCTGACATGCGTCATTAGCGCCCATGAACGAACGTTGACGGAATGTGTCATGGAACGTGTGGTCGATGGACAACCACGAAATGACGGACACCCACGAAAAGTTTCATGAGCGCTCGTGGAGTTCCACGGAATCTTGCATGAACACCCTTTGACACATTTCACAGACGGTCATGAAAGTTCATAGATGTACATGAAACGTCGATGACCGTCCATGAAAGTTTTCATGGGCTACATGAAACGTCGATAACCGTCCATGAAAGATTCCATGTGCTGCCGAAGAAATGTTCAATGAACGCCCATGAATGTTCATGAAATACATGTTGCATGAACGCCCATGAGAGTTCTTGAGAGTTCATGAAGTCTATGGCACATGGTTCATGATGAACATCGATGAAATATTTCAGTTGTGTTCGTTCATGGATGATGTCCATGAAAATTTTCATGGACGTTCATGGAATTCCATGTTTTTTTCGTTGACGTTCATGGAGGAAGTCCATCAATATTTTCATGGATTTTCACGGAACATTCATGAACTTTCATGGAAACTAGAGTAGCAGTAGTAGGTGTTTCCTCTTTTCTAAACATTAAATTTCCTCGTTTGTAGGGAAAACGGCGAAGCTCGTGCCCCCTTGTTGCGTGCTTCCTGACAATATTTGTTTCACTTCCATCTTGAAGTGTTTCATGGACTTCCCCGGACTTCCATGGACATGGTGTCATGAACTTCCAAGGAATTCCATGAAACTTTTCATTGTTTTCACGGACTTACTTTCATGGATTCCATGGACCTTCTATGGATTTCCATGGAACGTTCCATGGACGTCCATGGAACTCCATGGAAGGAACTCCATGGAACTCCATGAAACATTCCACCATACCACCAAGTACCATATTGTAGATGACTGGACCAGGTCCTACTCGACCATCGTATTATTCGCTACATCGACGGCAGATTTTTCGGCACGACAGCTTGACGTTTTCCAATACTTTCCGGTCGTTTGAGTTATGTTCCGGCAGACCTTGACCTTGGAGCTCTCAGCCTTGGTGGAGAAGGGCAGCGGCGACCACTGGGAAGTAGCACTACTCAACAGCAACACCCACACGTGGGACAAGATTGGTGACCTTTCCGAGGTTGGTTCTAAGTGGACCACTTCGACGCTCACGGTGATAAGCGACGATGGTTGCAGCGATGAAGCGCCAAGCAACAAGCGTTGCGTCCGCAACTGCATGGACAAGGACAACAACAACCAAGTTCTTGTCCGTATTCACACTTTTCAATTGGACCAGGTACGCTACTGCCGCCTTATCACAGGTACACAAGTCATGATATCTGACCTGTGCTCGTTCATGTTTGTCCTTCCTTTAAATTTCATCTGCCCCCCCCGGAAGTTCCTCGTCCTTGTACATCCCTCCGCACTTTCACCAACGTGGCTTCGGCGTTTGGCTACTTCATCACTCGGCTCGCGAGATCCGTCTCCAATCGGCGCCGTCCCCCCAACACCCTCCCATGCCACTGACTAGACTACATCACGGTTTTCCTCGCAAAAATTTACACGCATCTTGACGATTTCCGCGCCTCCTTGGGTGGCCACCCGCTGGTTGTCCATGTCGGGAAACCAATCCCCGCAGGTCGTCTTCATCGACTACGCGCACATCAAGGCTTCTTTCGGATTCAATCCACACACCGGTCACGCCTAGCTCTTGGCCACCGCAAATTGATAGACTACACTTGAGGACGCCACCTTCAGAAACCACCTTGAGTGAAGAAAGAAGTGGGATGTTCCTGTGTTCCATACCAGTCCAAGTCCACTGTGGTCGCCCGTGGGCGGCATGTCACTGTTGAATCGATGGTTGTTGTAGCGTGAAGGAGAGGCATGGTATGAGTCTGGTATATCGACGGTAGTCTACGTAGGAAGCATTCGATTCGCTTTCAGTTTGAGATCATTGTTCGATATGCACACGTACCAATGTAGTCGATGTAAATAGCTCCGTTCCGACCTCAAGAGATCGGTTGGCGTATGGACGGACGGGTGTTTGCGCGTGTGTCAACGTTGGTCAGACCGACGTGGTTGTCTGTTCAACCCAGCTAGATACAGGAGAGACAGCGAACCTGCTGACCAGATTATATAGAAAAGTCCTTGCAATACAAGTATCAGGAATGGACTTTCAATTCTGTCGAGACGACATCCTCGATTTTTTCGAAAACTGCGCACCTGGCTTAGCGTACGTGGCGTCAACAGTGTGCGCCAACCAGTGAATCGAACCATGTGATGAATAATGTGATACACCTACAGTAGAAGAAACGACTGGGAGGGGTGACGCCATCTCTCGAATATACCTTTCATCGTCGCGCTGGGAACACAACGAGTGCTGGTGCTCTTGTGAGCTTTGCAGATATTTTCGGACTGAGTTAAATTAAGGAAAAAAAAATACACACACTGAGTTCTTACGAACGCCGCGGCATGTAACAATTCTCTCATTCGAAGAAATACAACGAATTACAAAATATGTCCCGAGCGTTTGACGTTGACGATGATTCCGCACCAACCGTCACCAGTTAGAGAATGGCTACAATAGTGGAACTCTCGATGGGATTTTCACAACATTCAGTGATTTCAATATAATTGTCAAATACACGGACTATGCGCACAGTAAACGGTCACACGCACTTTATGTATCTCGATTGCAACGCATCGGCGGGTTTGGCCACTCACTATAGAACTCTGATTGTGATCGGAGAGCGCCACTGGTACTCGCAGGTTCACCTAGATGCGGTAACGAAACCACTCAGGAAACTTCCTCTCGGCTAGCCACCAGGGACAAGGATCATCACGCGCACGTTTCTAAGCTACGCTGATATCCGCTGCGATAGGAAGGGATTTCCCATCTTAGATCATTTTTGACCAACACCTGTGCAGCTGGACCCATCCAAGGAAACGCTCCTATTCCCCTCAGTGCGGGCTGGCCCTGGCCAAATTGTCAAGAGTATTACTCGACCTTTCACTCGTGAGTCCAATCCTCTGGTCTGTCTACTGGGGTTCACTTGCTGCGGAGGTCGGAGGTCTTCGGGTTACGGACATTTGTCAATCCACTATTACTCAGGACAGTTGGGGGGAGGGGTCCGTTTTGAATGCACACAATCTCGCCAGCCTGGTTGCGAGGCACGGCGAATCGCTCACGACGTGACCTCTTGTCGTATCAAATGCCTCGCGAATTGGACGGTTGACGGGGCTTCGACTGAAACCAAAAGTGCCGATCATGACCAAGTCGCCAATCGAAATCTCCCATTGGACAATGTCCGGACTGCAAACCGAATATTCCCGAACGAAGATCACTCCATCTTCCACGACATCCATGGCTCATGAGTTCTTTTTGTTTCATAGTGGATGATCCCTCCTGCTAAGATGAATGAAATAGAGCATATCTAGGGTAGTGAATTCAGACACACTCGCCTGCCCGTGCATTTCGCATTCTAACGGGTTCGCAACACACAATATGCGGTCTGAATTCACTCTCACGATGCACACCTCGCATACAGTATTGACCTACAGATTCTCCAAGGCGCTCTCAAACCTCCTACATCGTATTCTCTAATGAACATATCGTCCACCGCCCGCCATGTCTGTCTCCGAAGACAAGAGAAGATGTGGTCACATTTGCCTCCATCCGTAGAGACAGGAAACGGACACTTCCCAATGGCGTACTGAAAGGGACGACGTTATGAGTATGATCTTTGCACGAACTTTGGCAAGTCCCCAGAACGCAGGTAAATCGGCTGAATTTCCCTGCGGATGTTTCTGGTGTTTGGGTGTGGTGTTCGTTGGGAACAGGCCCAACGGCGGAGTATTTGAAACGGAAGGCCATCTCCACAGACGTGTCACAGCTAGTCTCAACCTCAGCGTTCCCATGGTATCGTTCGTTGTCGTTGGTCTGTTCGACATAGGGCTTTGGCTGAACAGGACATTGCACCGACGGGACACTCATCGATTCAACTCGTTTCTCCAGATTGAAGATCCATGCCTTTGTCCCTCTCGAAACGTTCCCGTCCTCGTCACACACAGCCTAACATACCTATCTACCTCCGCCGGTTCATCGCCATCTCGCACCAGAACCAACCTATTTCTTCAGCCAAGACAACGGTGAGGCAAGAGTACATACAGCTAGACGGGGGTAGATGGTGTTGAGCACATTGGCTTGGGCAACGCCGAACCATCGTACCGCGGAAAAAGAATCCATATTTTTCTAGCGTTCGTCATTGACCTTGGCCTTGTAGTGTCTGCGGCTCGTCAAAACCTACCACCTGCGGAACTTTCTGCGCAGGAGGTATGATGATGGACAGCCTTCCGCGAGGCTTGTGAACCCGCTGATGACCCAGAGTTTACATAACTACCGTAGCAGGTAATGCATGTGCGCTCGGGCCCTTTTCACGACGTCGTCGATGAAAACAGTGACGACGTTTCGACTCTACTTCGTTCTCCCTGCTTTCGCCCTTGGTTTGTTTGTGGCGCATCTGATGAGTACAGTGAACAATCGCAATATGACCTGTGTGGTCTTGACACCGTGCCTCATCTCTTTGGGAGTCATGTCCGGCTACCTCTCGCGTCCCTATGCACGCCCTCCTTTTCGTGTGCAGAGCGAGTGGTGCTAACAATGTTCCATCCCATTCAACGTTTCGCGTAGGGAGCGAGCAGCGCACAACGTACAACCATGGGTCGTGGTCTGCTTCTTTTGTCTATGGTTGGCGCTCTCGGACTAGCCCTCGGATCGACGCCACTCATAGCAGGCGCCCCCAACGGGATCGAGAAGATATCGGGGGCTGGATTCCAACGAGGTCAAGATGAATTCTCCCTCTGGGTAAGAAGGCCTTCCATCGGTCGATGAATGGCAAGTCGGTGCACATTCCAGCGAGTATGTTCGAAAATGGGCGATCGTTTCGTGTGTTCCAGGCTGGGAATATAGCTGGGCCGAAGGCGGTGATGTTGTCCGAAGGGGTTGATGGCGATACTCGTGTACACTGTAGTGCAAGGCCCGTTGCATCTGGCTTATTCAAGCTCCTGAGACAGACGTGGCCCGTCGCAGCGGTCCGATTGTGTGGATGCATTTATTATTTCATTATTTCCGTCTTGGTTCAGTTTGGCAAACGAATTGCATGCCACTCATCGGGCCTCTGTTGTTGAGGCTGCTCAGTTGAATCATCCCAAGTCCTGATTCCTTCTTGGTAGACAAAGTGTACCAGAGAGGCCGTGGTAGCACATATCATTCCGATGACAAAGACTTGATGAAGCGGCACTGATTGGCGCGGTGTAGGTCTGGGCGCGACTGGTTGACGAATGATGCCGATCCTTCCGAAACGCGAACGATATCTTCAAACGATCGAAGCAAGCAGGCGTCTCGTGAATCCGTTAAGAAATTCGGTGAATATTGAATCTGACCTCACTCCGCCCTTCACACCGACTACACCGAACCATAGTAGTCTGAAGATGTACCAAGTTTCAATGTCACGCGAGCCCGGGATGATGGAAGGTCCAAGAAACTCAAGTGGCAGATTCGCCTTGTCCCGTGTGTGTGCAATTCCGCGCGTTCGTGGAAAACACGTGACGGGCGCAACACGCGCATCCGGTGCGCTATGTCACCGTACCGCAAAGTCATGGCAATGCCGAGCACCGTGGTATGCATGCACGCTCAGTTTATTTGCGAATAGACATGTCTGGGGTTCACAGCACCTGTTGTAGCGTTCGCAATTGTGACCAGCAAAGTTCCATCGACATGCCAGGCATCTGGTGAAATGTCTCGGTGGCAATGTCGCTATATGCGCACGAAAGAGACCTGGTGGGGATCGGTTGGTTCCGCATCACAGAAACGACGTAATCAGGAATAGCACAAAGTCTGAATGCATCGGGTTATGAATGAAACCCGCCTATCCAACCAACCCACCGGGTCATTGACGTCTCTTCCATTTCACGCCATGCGACAGACGAAGGAGGGCTTGCCGGTCTCGCGTGCAAACAAGGCTGAATACGTGCGCCTCGCCTCGAGACCGGCACGCGGCAAGTTCAAGGGGGGTGGTAAGGTACGTGTGTATGGCCGCACCACGTTCGCCGACGTTTTTGGGGCGGGCTCTGTCATTCGTCGCCGGCTTGTTCCCGGCGTTTACGAGTGTTGCCATATTGCCAGATGCATACAATACATGGGAGGTGAACGTTCATCAACCCATGCTGAAACGCACGGTTCCAGATGTACCTACCTGTGCAAGCCACGGCGTTCCCACCCTAGAACCAGGGAGGTTTACGACACACTATGCCCGAGTCGGAGCAACGCTTCGTAGACTACATCAATCGGTGTACGGTCTTTCGGGGTATGATATTTCCGACGGGACGCTTTAGACTACAGTATTCGAAAGCACGCCGTCTGACCTAACTGGTCGCACTGGAAAATCATTTGTTGGAATTGGGTTGGCCGTGCGACAAACTTCGTTACCGCCGCCATCGACCCCTCTGACACCTTCGTGTACTCCTGCAATCTCGCCAGTTCGAGTTCAGCTTCAACGGGCCATTGCTCTACGGCGATGTGGACGTCAATGTAAGTACGAGTATTTTTGTGTTCGTTGGACCTGGAAAATGGAACAGGCACCATCTTTTGCTACGTGTACGTTCATGATGGTTATCAGCACAACTACTGTGGTGTGTCAATCCTCTCCGGGCGCCTTCTTTGAAATTTCGGCAGACCTTGACCTTGGAGCTCTCTGCCTTGGTCAAGAAGGGCAGCGGCGACCACTGGCAAGTAGACATGTTCAACACGAGACGAGGGAAACGGTGGGACAAGATCGGTGACCTCTCCGAGGCGGGTTCTGATTGGTCCACGTCGAACCTGGTGGTGATGAGCGACGACGGTTGCGGCGATGCCCCGAAACGCATCAATACCACGAGGACGAAGAGATGGAAGCCCAAGCGCTGCATCAGCGACTACTTCGATACCGACAGCAACGAAGTCCTCATCCGTGTTCACACGCGGGAATCGAAAGAGGTACCGCTCCTCCTCCATTTGCCCATGTCCGCGTGTCGCGATGTAGACTAGCTTATCTACCGCCGTTTTTCGTCTGACCCCTCTCTCGCACATTCACGAGTGTAGCTTCGGCGTTCGGCCACCTCCACCACACGGCCCTCGACATCTCCCTCCAGCCGGCACTGTTCTCGCATCAAGTTTCCACCTCTGCCACCGTGTACATGTCCACACCGCAGTGTATACCATGGGTTCCCTAGCCAATATTCATACTGTACACACCTTGACGACAACACCTGCTCGTTTCCGCGCCTCCCGTGGATGACCACCCCCTGTTTGCCGATGCCGGGAAACCAATCCCCGCAGGTCGTCTTCATCGACTACGCGCACATAAAGGCTTCTTTCGGACTTAACCCACACGCTGGTGGCGCCTAGCTCTGGGCCACGGAAAATTGATGGACTGACACGATCCCCCGCACGTCACCTTCAGAAAACACCTTGATAGAACAATGAAGTTTGATGTCCCTGTGTTGTATTCCAGTGCAAGTCCACTGTGGTCGCCCGTGGGCAGCATGTGACTGTTTGAGTTACTCTTGTTGTAGCGTGAAGGCGAAGGTCTGGTATATAGACGGTAGTCTACGTGGGAAGCATTTGATTCGCTTTCAGTTTGAGATCGTTGTTCGGATATGTTCAGCAGTCGATATCTCCGTTCCGACCTTACAGATCGGTTGGTGTATCGACCGACGGTTGCTTTGCGCGTGTGTCATCGTCACAAAGCCAGAACGATGTGATTTTCTTGACAAGCTATTCTGGGTCTGTTCAGACCCAGGCAGACGCAGGAGAGACAGAGAAACCTGCCAACCCAAAAGGCAGCAAACTCATCCCAACAACACCAATGGAATTTGAATTCTGCCGAGACGTCACCCTCGACTATTGCGAAGGGTAGAGGATGCTGTGATTGCAGCGTACGTACCTGGATGCAGCAGTATCCGCCAAACCAGTGTGAATCAAACCATGCGATGAATTCTGAGACACACCAAGCATTAACCAATGGGGGGGATGATGGCGCCTCTCGAATGTGCCATTCGTCGTCGCGCTGGGAATACAATGAATGCTGCCTGCAACACCTCGGACTGAGTCCTTTCTGAACGCCGCGGTATAAAACATCTCTCTCATTCCAGGAAACACAACCGAGTCCGATATCTCCCCCAAGCGTTTGGCGGCGATGATTCCGCAACAACTGTGACCAGTTAGAAAACGGCTACAGTATTGGTACTCTTGGCGGGATTGTCACAACGTTCAGTGATTGAACATGCTCGAATACACGGACTGTGCGCCCATTCAACGGCCACACGCATCTCGAGTGCAACACGCCAGCGGGTTTGGCCACTCACAATAGTGATGGAAGAACGACAGTTGGAGTCGCACGTTCACCTAGATTACCATTCGACTATGCCCAGACTACAAACCGAATATTCCTGGAGATCATGGCACCTTCTACGATGGTAGTTGCTCACAAGTTTCGTTTTGTTGCATAGTGAATGAGATATCTTCCTGTAAGGATGAATGAAAGAGAGCATCGGGTGAAGCGAAATGTCTACATAATGTACTGTACGTTCAGATACACTCGCCTGCGTGTGGATTCGCATTCCAGCGGGTTAGCAACACACAGTAACACGGTCTGAAATCACTCCCACGATGAAGACTTCGCACGCATTGTTCACCTAGTCTACAAGTATTGGTTGTGTCACCTCAGAATATCATATGGTAGCACGCACACCCCGTCCCCCGCCGGCCGTGTCTGTATCCGAAGTCAAGAGCTGTGGTCCTCAAAGCAGCAGGTCCGGCCCATCTACATGGTACGCTGGGACACATCCAAACGTCGTACTAAAAGGGACGACGCACGGCGTATGAATGTTGCACTAACTTGCACCTCCCTTAAGAAATCCAGTGGCTCAAACTACGGGAGTTCCCTACGGCCTTATTTGGTGTTGTTTTGGAACGCGCTTTCAATGGAGAACTTGAAGCCGAACGCTGTCTCCGAAGACTTGGCACAGCTAGCCTCGACCTCAGGATTCCCATGGTATCGTTAGATGTCCCTGTTTCGATATAGAGTTTTGGCTGAACAGGATTGCACCGACGGGACACTCGCCAGTTCAACGTGTTTCTCCAGATTAAAGATCCATTCCATTCTTCATGTCGAACACATCTGGTCCTCCTCACACACAACTTCACATACCTACTCCGCGAATGCATCGCCATCTCACATCAGAATCTGCCTCTTCAGCTAGAACAACAACGGTGAGGCAAGAGAACATAAGGGTAATTTAGACGGGTGTTGAAGAGAATACGCCCAAGGCGCCACATTATGATGTTGAGTACATTGGCTCGAGCGACACCGAACCTTCGTGCCATGGATGTACTGCGTCAAGGAATCGATTTGTGGTTAACGATATCGTTACCTCCTTTGTCAAAAACACGTATGCGGATCGTAAATGCCTGTCACCTGTGAAATGTTCTGCGAGGGAGGTGCGATGTTGGACGACCTTCCCTGAGGCTTGTGAACGTCTCAATGGCCCAGAGGTTACATGGATGGCCCATTATCCATATGCGCTCGGGCCATATGCACGATGTCGATCAAAATTGTGAACACGTTACATATGTATTGGGTTCTCGTTCCCAACTTTCGCTTTTTGCTTGCTTGTGGCTCATCCAATGAGCAGTGAACAATCCTTATGTTTGTGGGTGGTCTTGATTCCGTTCGTCGTTCTTCGCCCGGTCTGTCGGTCTACCTTTCGCGCCCCTAGTTTCACCCCCTTCTTCCCAATAACCATTCTTTCGGGCACAGAGTGTGGACTGTGCAGAACGTGCAACCATGGGTCGTGGTCTCCTTCTTTTGTCTACGGCTGGCGCTCTCGGGGCTGCCCTCGGATGGACACCATTCATAGGAGGTACCTGCAACGTGGTCGAGAAAATATCGGGGGCTGGATTCGAACGAGGTCAAGATGAATTCTCCCTCTGGGTAAGAAGGCCCTCAGTCCGTAAGACGAAGTTCTACAAATCGGTGCATACCCAAGCGAGTGGCTTCGAAAATTTGGTGATCGTTTTGTGATCCAGGCTGGGCCGAAGGTGGTCGTCGTGTCGGCCCTCAGTGGTTCAAAGAGATGTTCGTGTACTGAAGGGCAAGATCCCCTCCATCCGGCTTGTTCCATTTCATCACATTTGGCCCTTCCTGGATCGATTACCTGGGCGCACTTCCGGCTTGGTTCAGTTCGGCGAACGAATCGTATGCCCCTCACCATGCCTCTGTTGTAGAGTCTGCTCGATTGAATCTTTCCAAAGCCCTGATCCCTACGTAGTAGACAGAGCGTGCTGAGAGACCCGGATAGAACGCACCATTCTAGCCAACACGTGAAGCAGAAGAAGGCGAATATTTACGAACAGTAGGTCTAGGCAGGTTGGTTGACTGACTAACAATGCCATTTTTTGCGAAACATGAACAATTTCAAGAATCGAAACAGGTAAGATTCTCGCCGGCGTCTGCAAGCGTCTGAACTAAGTTGGTGAAAATTGAAATCGGACTTCAGGCCGCTCTTCACGCTCGACTACCAAACCCACAGTAGCAGAGGAACTCTTCCGAAGACATACTACTGTACAGTAGTTTCAGTGTCAACTATGCCTGGAATGACACGAGGTCGGAGAAAATCGTGTGGCATGATCGTCTTGTCCCGCGTGTGCGGAAATCCGCGTGTTGGTTGACGGCAAGTGAAGGGCAATACACGGCGCGCCCGGTACCCTGAGTTTCTGTACCGTAAAGTCGTGACAAAGCAGAATATAATAGCACACTGACGTACAGGCTGGGTTTGTTTGCTGCGAAAACCATGACCGTCTGGGGTCCATGGCACCTGTAGCGTTCCCATTCGTGGTCAGCGAAATTCCCTCGGCGTGCAAGGCATCTGGTGAAATGGCTGGCAATGTCGGTATATGCGCGCAACAGAGACAGACAGACATGGTCTATCTAACGCAGGTTGGAATATGTTCCGTGTCACTACAGGAAAGCACGTGGACGAATTGTACCTTCCATGGAAAATGGATACCTTGGGTACCGTATCAGACCCACCCAACCAGTCCACCGCATCATCACCCTCTTCTTTTTCACACCGTGTGACAGACAGGGGAGGGTTTACCGATCTCGCGTGCAAACGACGAGACATACCTTCGCCTCGCCTCGAAATCGGCAGGCGGGAAGTTCAAAGGAGGTCAGGTATGTGTGTGTGGTAGTGCGCGTTCGACGAAGTTTTAGCTGGGCCTCTGATCGTCATGCATGTCGTCGCCGGCTTGTTCACGACGTGTACGAGTGAGTGTTGCCGTTAGATGCATACGCGGGAGGCGAACGCTCGTCAACCCGTCAATGGTGAAACGCCCGTTTCCACATGCAATAACATGGAATAGGGTTGGCCTTCCGACACGTCTTTCCCACCGCCGTCTACCCTCTTGCCACCCTCCTATTTTCCTGCATTCCCGCCAGTACGAGTTCAGTTTCAGCGCGCCATTGCTCTTCGGCGATGTGGACGCTAATGTGAGTGCGAGTTTCGTTTCACTGGATCTGGGAAATGGAGCAGGCATACCGTTTAAACGCAGCGCTATTTCGCTCCAAATTTCCAAATATCAAAAAAAAAAAATTGGAAAAGGTTCCAAAAATTTGGAACGAACCACTCCAATTGTTTCGGCCCCTACTTCGTTCCAAATTACGTTAATGCTGGGTATCAGAAAATATCTTGAGATGACTTTCTACTCTCTCGGGGCGCCTTGACATTCCGGCAGATCTTGACCTTGGAGCTCTCTGCCTTGGTCATGAAGGGCAGCGGTGACCGCTGGCAAGTAGATATGTTCAACTCGAGACGAGGGAAGAAGTGGGACAAGATCGGTGACCTCTCCAAGGCGGGTTCTGATTGGACCACGTCGAACCTGGTGGTTGCGAGCGGCGATCGTTGCGGCGATGCCCCGAAACGCATCAATACCACGAGGACGAAGAGCCAGAAGTCCAAGCGTTGCATCAGCGACTACTTCGATACTGACAGCAACGAGGTCCTCATCCGTATTCACACACCGGGATCGAAAGAGGTACCGATGCCCTCGAGATATAATGTAGACTACTGTAGACTATGCACTGCTGTTCCATGTTTGTTTGTCTTTCCTTCCAGTTTCAACCGGACCAACCCAAAGTTCCTCGTCGGACACCTCTCTGCACATTCACGAGTGTAGCTGCGGTATTCGACTACCTCCACCACACGGCCCACGACATCTCCCTCCAGCGGGCACTGTTCCCTGCGACAAGTTTTCACTACAGTACCACCGTATACATCTCCACACCACCGTATGTATGACTTGTTCCCTCGCCGATAGTGACACACCTTGACGTCAACACCTACCCGTTTCCGCGCCCACCTTGGGTGGCCACTCGCTGCTTGCCCATGTCGGGAAACCAATCGGCAGGTCATCTTCATTGACTACGCGCGCATCAAGCCTTCGTTCCGATTCAACCCACACTCTGGTCACGCCTAGCTCTGGGGCCACCGATAACCGATGGAGTTACACAATGCCGCGCGTCGCTCAGACATCAACTATATTGAAGATGGTCTGAGAAGTCCCGGTGTTGAATACCAGTACAATATGTGGTGCTTTTTGCCCGCTGGAATATATGTAGTAACTCGTTGAGAGAATTATTGTTATAGAGGGATGGTTTGAGTCGGGCACTTTGACCAATAGTCGAAGCATTCATTTTCAATTTAATGTGGATGTTTGGTAGATACTGTACACTACATGTCGCCTGCAGTCCATCCATGTAGAAAGCTCTTGGCGACCTACATATATGCTGGAACAAGGTCCCCCTTCGGGACGTTGGTGTCAGCCCCCCCGGGGGTGACGCAAGTAGGAAAGGAAAAAGTGAAGTCATGGATTAAATTGCAAAGTTCGGTAGTGCTCGCCCCCGTACAAAACATCGCATGTATCATGGGACGGATGTGGCAACACGAAAACCATTTAGTTAGGCGGAAGGGGAACGATGGGTTGGTAGCAGCGCTGGAGGCTTGGCGGCGCTTTGGCGAGGCATGGGTGTACGGTGTACTGACGAAGGGAGAGAAAGAGGGTGGAAGCTGTTCTGGCGGTGTGAGCTGTGATTTGTGATGAGAGGGAGGGTGTAGAAGGAGTGGATGCGAGGAGAGCCATCGTGAGAGCGAGTGCGGGCAGCCGAATATTTGCATGCCACGGCAATGTTTTGCTTTTGGAGCAGGTTTTTCTTTTTTCGTGTGGAATAGGACTTTTGCCTGTACATGTAGACTATAGACACATAGTTCTATACATGACCAGCCCCGAGAAGGAGTGCTGATGCCGATGCATACACCGCACAGTATGTGTGAATAAATAGACATGTGTTACACTGCTGTTGTGAATCCATCTGTGGGGAGCGTGCAGCCGGTGCAGTGATGGCCCGCACCCATTCGGAGAAAATCGGGGAGATAGATTTGACCTATGAAGAAAAGATCCGAAAAATTCTGTGACTGGCATGACGTGTTCTAATCAACATGGACCATGAATTAGGTATGTGACTGTATCTTCCACACAATACAATTGCAAACCGGAGGTGAGAGTTCAAAGCAGAGTCGCGGCCCCGAAGCTGTGGGTGAAGAACCACGTTACATAGAAACGTACGCATGGACACACACAGTGTGAAGGCTGCTATGATGCTACACCGATTAGGAACCATCGAAATGATTCCAAAACGTTTTCGACCGTGTGGGACCGTGTTCTCTAAACTTGCTGGGGAAACATCTCCTGGTATGCAACAGAGAGGTTTCAGGAATTGTTTAGGGAGGCATTGTCGTCGCGGAACGCGTCCCCTGGGTTTTGAGCTAATTTTCGCAACTTTGACGGTTATTTACACGCGCCACGGAGGTCCGCCGAGCTCCGGACACGGGCGTTATTGTACCGACGGGCCTCCTGCGTGCCCCTGAGAAGGAGCCGCGAGAAAAAACTCGCTGGGGCGAGAGAAAGAAATGCCGAGGCATGAAAAGTGACCAAATCTTATACCACCATATGTAGTATCAAGGACGGGGTTGTGCGTGTTTCAACGTTCGTCAGACGAATACGGTTGTCTTGTCAAGCTATCTCGGGTCTGCTCACCCAAACACTAGAGAGACAGCAAACCTGCGGGACTACATAACAACCATGTCTTGGAACTAACGACAATGAATGGACTTATACTTCATATATAGCAGAGAAGTCTGCACGTACATCTTGATTTTTGGACGCTCTTAGCTTTTTTTACCCGTTGTCGTTTGTATGTGTTTTTTGCCCTTCCTTCAAGGGTCTTCACGAAAAATATTTCCGGACACAAAGCCCCCCCCCCCCCCCCCCCCGAGGGAGGAAAAATTTCAAAAATTTCCCCCAATCCTCCAAAAATTTCCCCCAAGGTTAAAGGGTTGGCAAAATGGCCCCCTCCCCTTACCCCTTCCCGAACTGGCCCTCCAAAACCCGGCCCCCCTCCCCCCACCCTGGTAAAAGAAAACACCTACGGGACAAAATCGGGCCCGAAAAAAAAAAACGCAAAAACCGGGCCAAACCTTATTTTTTGGGGGGGGGCGAAGGACCAGCCGAAATCCGGC